TAAACATCAATACTGTATGTTGTAAACAGATTTTTACAACATTTGCATTAAAATATTTCTTTTATTCTGTGATCGAGCACATGTACTACTTGAATCTGGTATGGATTCACTAAGGTTGTCATTTTCAATTACAGTTTCATCCTGTAAATCTTCATCATAAAAATCAATCCACAAGACATGCCAAAATTTCTTACGCGGGGCATCACCTACATGAAACCTATAAACAACAACACCACAGACCCCACACAATACAGACCAATTACATGTCTTTCAACACTTTACAAATTATTGACTTCCTGTATCGCAAACTAAATATACAAACACGTTGAAGAACACTACATTCTTACAGAACAACAAAAAGGTTGCCCTAGAAATCACAGGGGATGCAAAGAACAATTACTCATAGATTCAGTCATTTTACGGCAAGCACACAAACAACACAGAAACATACACATGGCATATATAGACTACAGAAAAGCATTCGACAGTGTTCCACACAGTTGGCTGCTACATATTCTACACATGTACAAAATACATCCATCACTCATTGCATTCTTCGAAAACACTATGCAGCACTGGAGAACAACACTACATCTCAGGGTTAGTAACACTTCCATACAAACAAACGAAATATTCATTAGGCGAGAAATTTTTCAAGGAGATTCCTTGAGTCCTCTCTGGTTCTGCCTAGCCCTGAATAAATTATCCAACATCTTAAACAACACGCAATATGGCTACAATATCAGACATGAAAAAACAACACAGTTTACGCTGTCACATCCCATGTACATGGACGACATAAAACTTTATTCGCGGATTGTAGAGACAGAGTTTACGTTAAACGACGTTTATCAACAGAACAGCCTATAGACGTTGGCTGGCTGAACCGCGGTTTAAAATGCGTTGTAAAGACTACGATCGTCTATTTCTGAACGCCCTTTAAACGAACTTCGGCAAAACATTGGCTCTTACTTTCTTCGCTATTAGTCTCCTGTTTTAGGAGTCGTTCGGCCAATCGGGTTATTTGTTTGTGACGTCAGTAATGGTCACCAGTTATATTCGGAAAGCTTCCAGAAATATCTTAAGGCCGTCAAAACCATTGTTCGGAAATTAATGACAATCCTTTTCCAATTCGATATTTAATTTCGTTGCCAATACGATTTAAAATACGAACAAATTTATATTTAGAAAATTTATACCGAATTCGAAATTCGTCTTCGCAATAGATTTTCAAGGAATTATTTTGACATCTTATTACTTCCTTCGTAACTATCGAAATGAATAATTTTAAATATTTTATTATTAATATTACATTTTTTTATATCTATAAACAGATTTCTGTAATTATTAAAATTGTCTCGTTTATCTAACAGTACAATGACGCCGAAATGCATTAATGTTTTATAACCGACACGATACTTGAATTGTAAATAAATGCATCTGATTTAAATTAATTGTAGTTTTAAGTCTTCACTCATTTGAATATCGGAATTGAAACATTTAAAACAAATTTAAAGTGTTTAATTTTGTTATTTTTGCTCCAAGCAATTAATTAATGAATAATTTTGTCGATTCGTACCGTTTACAACATTTATCATTCTAACCGATAACACTGGTAAATGCCGGTACAAGGCATTTAGAAAATGTGACCTAAATAACTAACCACGTTTAGAAATCACTGTTATGATGTCACCAGTTGTCCTGCGGTACTTACCAAAGTTACCCAGGTGTCAAAGCGGTTTTAGCGGTTCTATTAAATTACAAAATGGCGGACACAGTGTATCGTTGTGGAGTTTGCAGTCGAGATTTTAAAACTTTAGAGGAAATAAAACAGCATTTTGTTTCGGAACATGTATCTACCCCACAAAGCGATCAACAAAATGTTCAAAAAACAATTTCACCCCAAAATTCAGCCTTAACGGATGGGGCAGACGGATTGTCGTTGGTCAACAAATGCTGTAAAGTTACTGATTTCACTGTATAAAGAACATGAAAATAAATTTTCCGATATTTGTTGGCCAAGCAAGAAGGTATGTAAATATTTATTTATTCCTTTTTGAGTAGTTAAAGGAATTACTTATTCATTAGAAGTCATCACTCATAATGTCTAACACTTAATTGTTTAACAATTAATGCATATGGTTTTTCATATAAGATATTGATAAAAAAAACATCTCAGTTATTAAAAAAATTCTATCAGAATTTATCATGACCAGTACTACAATATTGCTGGCTAATATCAAGTACTGTACAGTACAATAGAGCAATACAACACAGATAGTCTATGTACTGTACATTTCAAGTCTGAAAAGGGATTTTTTTTTCTTTTTTACTAATGAATTATTACAGTCTGTCCCCAAATGATAGAGCCATTTTAAAATAGTGACATAATAGAAATAGTAAGCAAAACTTAATATGATAAACCAATAATCAATCCTCTATGTAATAATTTTATTAAAAAATGTTAAAATGAAAATATAAACCAATTTTGATAATGTTGCACAGCACATACTTGCCCCATAATGATATTCATCTTTACTTCAGCATTTAAATTGCAATTGTTGTGAAAAATAGTACACAGGGTGGTATAAAATATAAAATAAAAGAGTGAATTTATGTAAGAATGAAAAGGAATATACAAAAGTAATATGAAAAGTAATGAAAATAGTCATTCTTAAAATACAAGTATTTAATTATTAAATTCTGTGTTAATATTAGGAGCTAAAATTTAACACAGAAACCAAAATGAAAAAAATTATAACTGACCTAAAATTTATATGTTTCAGGTGTGAAGTTTAATTTCACAAACATTGCAAGAAAATAATTACCTTGTCACAGGTAATCAATATGATGAAAAATGGAGAAATTTAAAGAAAACTTATAGGAAAATTAAAGATGGGAACAAGCAAACTGGCCGAGGAAGAAGCCAGTGGGAATATTTTTCCATAATGGATGAGATTCTCGGACAGCGGCCAGATATTGAATCACCTGCTAATTTTGAGACTTACTCTTCAACTTTACAGGATTTGAGTGCATTATACAACTGATTTGTCTGAATGTCATATTACAATATGTAATTATCTTTATGTAGACATGGTGGAAAGCAATTCGGAAAATTCGGGAAACATCAGGATTGAGTCATCAACATCAACTGTCTCTTCTCTTCCCAAATTCCCACAAAAGCGTAAGCGGAAGTCAGAATGGTTTGACGAATACAAAGAACTAAAGGAAAAATCTAGAAAAGAAAGACAACAGCGACATGCTGAACTATTAGAATTAAGGAGGAAACAGCATAAGGATAATATGAAATTCCGCAAAAAGCTGTTAGGTGTTTTAAAGAGTTTGGTTGTAAAATAAAAATTCTATTAAATGTTAACAAAATCTTCTCTCTTTGCACTATGCTTTAAACACAAAAAATTTTTCACCAATTAGATGAGATTCATTTGAAAGAACAGTGACAATGTATGTATTATTCAAGGCAGCCAACAACAACAACATTGTTTTATAATTTTTTATTTCAGATCATTAAAAAGTAATTAACAATAACAAATCAGTTTACAACATACCAAAATAACAATAAACATCAATACTGTATGTTGTAAACAGATTTTTACATTTGCATTAAAATATTTCTTTTATTTTGTGATCGAGCACATGTACTACTTGAATCTGGTATGGATTCACTAAGGTTGTCATTTTCAATTACAGTTTCATCCTGTAAATCTTCATCATAAAATATACAAATATTATGTAACACACAGCAGGCCATAATAAACATTGGTATGAGATAAGGGTTGCCCATATCCACGTATCTCAAACGTCTGAAACGTCCACAGTAAAACATGAAACACGTTCCACTGTGTTTCATGTTTTACTGTGTTTGAGATTAAAACTTAGCTGCTGTGGACTTAAATGTCCATTTTCTCTAAATGGCGTTATTAACTGTTCTTGTAGGGGATATGCAGAGTCTCCTAAAAGATGGTATTTTGGTAAAAATAGAGTGCTCAAACTTCTCCCCAATTTAGAACGTCGAAACACACGAGCATCATGGACACTTTCAACTTCTCCTGCATAGCAGTCTATAAACTTGCACCTAATGATAAAGTTAATTTCATTGACTTAACTATAAAATCTAAATTTAAACTGAAACAAAAGGAATGATTTACAAACCTAAAATCCGCTACAGCTTGGGGTAACACTAAATGGAAATCTTTTCTGTTTATATATGATTCTGGATGATTTATTAATGCCTTGATTGGTACGTGTGATCCATCAATGTAGCCAATCACACCAGGAAATCCACAAGCTTTTTTGAACGAAGAAGCATTAGCTTCAAGTTCATCACCTGATGGAAAGCGTGTAAATTGTCCAGACAAACAAATATTCTTTTAAAAAAGTTTTTAAAGCAATTGTAAAATTTTATGAATCATTTATCAAAGCAAATGTCTCTTAAAATCTAAAATGACGTTAATTTAACATTCTTACTGTTATTGGAGCAATCCTACCATAGAAAACATCTATTTTTATAACACTTAAAAACAAAATTGATTACTTGTACAATTCCGGAGTTACCGTTAGCCACAAGGTCATAAGAATTTGCTTTCTCGGTTCTAATGTCTGACGACCGCGAGTGCATTTCTTTATGAGTTTTTCCGAAGTCTAAAACGATTTATTTTCATTACAGAATATTGTATTAGTTAATAGAACTGAAATAAAATAGTTTATTTTACCTTCCTATTTAAAAACATTAATTAATAATTATTAATGTATTTAAATAGGAAGGCAGATTAATATAATCACAGTTGAAATTCGAAAATCAGAGTGATTTTTAAAAAATTGTAATTTTACTAAATGTGTACACTGTAAATATCAAATAATTCAAAAAACAATTTACGTATATTAAATGATTTAGCGTAGAGAATAAAAATTTTAATCACTGTACAAAATACTTTGAATATAAATTAGTCTGAAAGTTAAGCATGCTTTATTTTTCCAATTAGCTGATTTTCATCTTGAAAATACAGAAAACAGAAACTAAAAAAGGAGAAGAAAGAAATCCACGATTCACTCTTAAAAATTTGTATTTTACATGCTTGAAAGTTGTGAATTCGTCTTACAGGAAACATGCTATGAAGGAAATATTTTAGAAAAATACAGTATCCTTTTTATCTGAATCGAACCTATTTTACAATTATACATTTAACAATACGAATAAATAGGATTATGAATAAAAACTTGTAATGTTAAAAATGTCAAATTAAATTAAAGTTTATAGAATTTATTTCATGTGTTCTGGTATTTTTGAAACTGTGCCAGTAGTTTTATCTCGAACACAAATTATTTATCGTATTTATACAGACACTTGGCATATCACAGAATTAAATTTCATTTAGTTGATACGTGTTTCTTTCATTTATACACGTTTCGGGCATTTCTTGCCCCTCTTCAGCAAACTAAAATAAAAATTCACAAGTTACAACATTATAAACAAACAAACAAATATATAAAGTCATGTTATTTTAAAAACATACCTTTTTGATGAGTTTAAACAATTTTAAAATTTTTTCCATACAGTTACAATCACGTTTAAATTTATTTTACAATTAAAATTTATATACTAGTCTTTCGAAGTAATCCTTCCTTACAAACATATTTCGCTGACCTTTCCTCCCCCTTTTTCTTTCCCAGTTATGCTTGCCCACTGTCTAGTACACAGTCACATGACGAGTAAGCCACCTTGTGGCAACATTTTTTAAAAAATTACTTTTCTACATAAAAATCTTTTACATAAAAAATCTTTTTCAAAAATATTACTAATTTTATAAGATATTGAGCCAGTTTTCGTTTATTTTAATACTTAGATTTTTATTTATACATTTATTAATTTTGATAATTTCTACGCTTTCTTTGAACTTTCTATGGTATGTTTCTTTTTCTTTGTGGAATATTTGTACTTTATCTACTTTACAATCGTTCAGAGTGCAATGATCATGAAAGGCTGAATTTATTCTGTTGTATTTCAGATCTCTATTTGTTCTTTTAATCTGGTTTTTAACTTCATTTTAGTTTCTTCTATATAATATTTATTATCTCTACAAATACAATGAATTTTATATACTACATTCTTGGTTTCAGTTGGTAGTTGTTGTTTTTTCTTATTGTTGAGCTGTTATTTTTATTATATATTTTTTGGTATGTGGTGCTAACTTGAAGTTTATATTACTTATTTCATTATCAATTTGTTCGTGTAGTCCTTTGATGTATGGAAACCCGATATACGTTATATCATTTGTTTTTTATTGTCTTGTGGCTTTTTAGGATTATTTATTTTAAGTTCTGATTTTTTTTAACAGTCTTTGTGGGTAACCCGCCAGGAGAAATATCTTTTTTAATTCAGCTAAATCCGAAAATATGTGTATTTGTTGACTTGTTCTGTTTTTTTTTTTATTTTAGAATATTCCTTTATAAATACATTATATTTGAGATGAAGTGGTACCTTTGACTGATATCTTATTGTTATCTGATTCGAACCTGGCATTCTAAATGTTCTAAATTCTAAACTCAGTTTTAATCTTCTTATCGTAATATCCAAATAGTTAATTTCTTTTCTGGTTGTATCTTCTATTTCTGTTTTAAATTTTATCGCTTCTTGTATATTATTAACTTGTTTGTTGATTTCTTCTATCTTTATTTCAGTTTCATTGTATATTATTAAAATATCATTCACATATCTTTTATAAAATTTTATGCCTCTTGTTTGCTAATTCTGTTATCTATATCTATCATTATTAATTCTGCTAATTTTGGTCCTATTACTGATCCCATGCTTATTCCACTTGTCTGTGTATAAAAATCATCACCAGCCTCGAAATAATTACTTCTGTATGCAAATTCTATCAAACTTATTATTTTACTTTTTAACCTCAAGATTTTTTTAACGTGATTGTAACTGTATGGAAAGAAATTTAAAATCGCTTAAACTAATCAAACAGGTATGTTTTTAAAATAACATGACCTTATATGTTTGTTTGTTTTTAATGTTGTAACTTGTGAACTTTTATTTAAGTTGGCTGAAGAGGGGCAAGAAATGCCCAAAACGTGTATAAATGAAAGAAACACGTATCAACTAAATGAAATTTAATTCTGTGATTTGCCAAGTGTCTGTATAAATACGATAAATAATTTGTGTTCGAATTATTTTATGTATGTTGTTATTAATTTCAGTTGTTCTTTGGATGAAACACAAAGTTTAGAAGAAAATATTTTCCAAGATTAAAGAAGAAAATTGTATATGAAATACTGTTTTACTTACATTTATGTTCCTCATTTTACAATATAAACGAAGAAATAGGAGAGAGATCCATTCCTTGGATATAAAAACGAGGACCAATGCGAAAGCATGAAGATATAATTACAGAAATTGTTTACTTTAATATGTTCTCTCTGATTAAATGTGGTTGAAAATACAATAGAGCGTCGATTATCCGAAAGTCAATTATCCGAAAGAATTCCAATCGGCAAATTTAAATTTTCGCCAGTGCTATGGCGCTGCAATCTTTGGCTATGTCTTGGGCTACTCAAATATTTTACGTTTTTGATACTAAATTAACTTCTGAAGTATAATTTTTAATTGTTTTTATATTTTTCAATATATTTATTTTTTTTTGTACAAAATAAGAAAAATAATTTTTAACGATACAATAGTCTTCATTAGGCTTAAGATCGTCGAAAATTCAACGCGAAGCGACACGCAACGGAGAAAAATTTTAACATGGGATAGGTTAATATATTTTTTCGTACATAATTGGTTATCCGAAATATCGATTTACCGAAGAACCCCAGTCCCCAATTGATTCGGATAATCGACGCTCTACTGTATTAGTAACAAGATATATTTATACTCGAACTTTATCATTTATAAAATTTGTTATTGTGTTTTGATGCAGAAATGTGCTTTTAGATATAAAAATGTTTATTTTTAGTTAAATATTATTAGTGGATAATTATTGTTGTGATTGAAGAAAATTAATTGATTATACACAGATAAGATATTATTTAGATGAATTTTTTTAATTGCAGATAAAAGGAACCAAAAGAAATTTTCATGTAAACACTGTAATAAGAACTTCAAAACTAAACAACATTTGCAAACTCATGAAAAAATACATACAGAAGAAAAATTATACTGTTGTGACGAGTGTAAACGGAAATTTACACGGAAAGGACACTTAATTACACACCTTTGGACCCATACAGAAGAAAAACCTTACACATGTGACAAGTGTAAAAAAAAGTTTTCAGCAAAGGGAGACTTAATTAAACATATTCGTATCCACACGGGAGAAAAGCCTTACAGTTGTCATGAGTGTAAACAGAAATTTACAGAAAGGGGAACCTTAATTACACATCTTCGCATTCATACTGGAGAAAAGCCTTACACTTGTGACGAGTGTAAAAAAAAGTTTTCAATAAGGGGAAGTTTAATTAAACACCTTCGGATCCATACTGGAGAAAAGCCTTACAGTTGTGACCAGTGTAAAAAAAAGTTTACAGAAAGGGGACACTTAAATAAACATCTTCGCACCCATACTGGAGAAAAGCCTTACACTTGTGATAAGTGTAAACGAAAATTTACACAAAAAGGAAGCTTAATTAGACATCTTCGCAATCATACTAAATGAAATCCTTACAGTTGTGACGAGTGTAAACAGAAGTTTTCACGAAAGGAAAGTTTAAACAAACTTCGGATCCACTCGAGAAAAAAACCGTATGCCATTTATGTTTATAGAAATTCATTCCAAATACAGACCTAGAAAAAACATTACAATATTCAGTTAGAATCAATTTTTCTTCAAAACTTATAATTTTTATTATGTATAACGATGAAAAGATTTAAATATAATTGGTTTAAAATTAAAGTCATTTGTTAATTTCGTTGAATTTCCTGAAACTTCAACTAAAAAAGCATCACAACATTCATATTCAGATAGAGTTTTTTTTTCAATTTTATAATTTCATACAAAAAACAACTTCTTCGTTAATTTACAGAACTCGGTATTTATTACCAAATTGTTAAAAAAACAAAATTTATAGTTTTTCGCTTCTCAGAAATTTTTTTTTTGCAACTTTATTTTGGAATTTGGACTGAAAATTTTCTCTGATATATTTATGTTTAGTCGTTTGTTTCGATTAGATGTGTTTGTTGTAACTTTTTTTTAATCTGAAGGCAAAAGTCTTAAGGTTGGCGGTAGAGATGAGTTATATAAAAAATTGGAAATGCTAATAACCAGCAAAATTTTGGTTAAGTCTAACCTTACTCGAGATACGACACGACCCCCCTTTTCTATCTTCCATCTCTTCGATATTTAATCACTAAAATTTAACAGCATCATATGCCTTTTATATACAAGTTTATCATGCCAAATTTTCTTTCTTAATCTTTATTCCATCCTGTATTATTAAACGATACACACACACACACATATCGTTTACAAATTTCCCAGTCGGAAAAGTGAAAACGAAATGACATGACTTTCCTGACACACTGTAGTAATCTTCCTTGGTAAATATGTTTTGCTAATTACTATTTAGAACAATAATATCACGTGGAAGATGTTACTTTTCATATCGTAAATAATTTTAACAGGTGAAAAAGTACTTATTGGAGTCTCCTTATTCAACAGATTGTTTCCATTACATAAGTCAATGGATAAAGAACAACTACAATGGACCTCTAAGTATGGAGGTAGCGTATTTATACATAACTAGCTTTTGCCCGCGGCTTCGCTCGCGTTAAGAAGTATCATTATTAATTAGGTAGAGGAGAAGGTGGTATTATGGAACACTGCGGGTATTATGGAACCACCTCATTTCGNTGATGCAGTACTAGTATCATCCTCATAACTGATTATATCAGAATCATCAAGTTTGTCAAAATCATAACCAGCCATTAAACAAAACTATGATGGCACAAGATGACAATATATATAGAGGTAGCATAGATACTTAATTTGTATCAAAAAGTTTAAATTGTCTAAACTTTGCTTTTAATAATACAAAACTTCTTTCCACAATAATTTTATGTTTTGATGATTTATTATTCAAACAAAAACATCTCAGATATAAAAAATTTGCACCAAGTAAAAAGTTATGATAATTTAGATGATAGTCAAATTTTTCTTGGGAGTTTTTCTTTGGTAAAGATAAGTTTGGTGCTTGAAAGCAGTTTCCATTTTTACCTGTATTATTTTCTAATCATGAAGACCACTTTGTGTCAAGAAGTTTGCAAAAATCAATGATAAATTTTATCTAAACTGTTTGCTATAATTTTTTTTTTGTATTTTAAACTCTGTTTATTTTATATTTTTTTTTTTATGTTCTGTCTAAGGAACTGTTAGCTAGCTACATACAAGACGCCCTTTAGACCCATATCTCGAAGTATAGTGTATGTAAGTATGTGTATGTAAACTTGACACCAAAATTGTTTATATATCAATTGTTTATCTATCAAGTAAAGGTGGAAAGGAATTTCGCCTGTTTCTCAAATTTTAGGAACCCCTCTTTCCAAAATTTCTGTAATATCGACTTAACATAATTTAGAGAAACAAATTAGAACAAAAAGTTTATCAATTAATCGTTATAAATCTCACAACATGCGAAGGAAAAATTGGGGGGATGCTTGTCTTTCCCTCTATTTCGACAGTGTTATATGACCGATGGTATGCTGTTCATGTCATATGACACGCATCATTCTTCATTGACAAGAGAGGAGGAGGACCAATAGATATCCAATCATGCATTGTACAAATTACCTCACCTTCCATCGGAACTAAAGTATGATTGGTCGAAAACAAAACAAAAATAAATAAAATTAAAAAGAAGTGACGAAATTAACGCAGAAAAAAGATAGAATCAGAGAGTGAGAAAGATTTGAAGGAGTGAAACTGAATTGAAAAAGTGAAACAGAATTGAGAACATGAAAAAGAATTGGAAAAGTGAGAGAGGATTGAGACTGACTGGACTGGCTGAACAGGAGATTGACCAGAAAAAATACAACCGACCTAATGAAGGACCAAAGAAAGGAACAAGAAGACGAAAAGAAAGAAGAGAAGACAACTCTTTTCCTTGTATGTTGTGAGTCGCTGCAGTTTAGATATCCCCCGTTAGGTTTCCCCCGTTTTATAGATAGGGATAGGCTAATTTCCTAAATCCGATTTTATAACGTTGGTCAGTACGTTTTTTTTATAATAAACTTCTTTTTCATTTGTATTTGACTTTGCATTCATCCTCCGGAGAGGCTCATCGGAGTGACTCTTACCCTCGTGCCTTAACTATTTGTTTTTTGTTTAAAACGGAGGTGTGTCCAACAAAGCATACCTGGTGGCAGGACCCTACCCTAAACTTCTGTAATCAAGTTTCTGACGGCACCAACGTCCACATTACAGAGTGTTGATAAAACGAGTTATTTAACCAATTATGAACAGCAAATTTAAGTCAAAATAATCACGGAGTAAGTTTAATAATAGGTTGGGGAGAAACGAATCAAATACCTGAGAAATGTGTAAATATGCTATATAAGTGTCATCTTTTTCTTTCATAATTTTGTAAAATTGTTCGCATTGTTTCAAGTGAATTTGTACAATTTGAGTGGTTTCTTCTTCCACATTGTTGGATAGAATGCAATTTATAAGTTATTCGTTTATATAATTTTTCGTAAAAGCATATTTCGAATATTTTTAGCATGGCTGACGAGATTGTGATTAGTAAATATATTTTATTTTATTATATTTTTGCGAATCCAGTTTAATTTTGGGCACAAAAATTGTTTCAGAACAAAAGCAGATTAAAAAAGATTCAAAATATTTTAATCGTATTACAGATCAAACAGATTTTACAATGACTAGATATCACCTGGAATATAATTACATCGATTCTTTGAGCTCGGCAAAAGAAAAGAAATAATTAATTAATTTTTTTCCAAATTATTCTACTTATAATATCATTTTGTAAAAAAAATTTTTTTCGTAAAATATTTTATTTTTGATCCATTCATCCTTTATTTATTGTTCATATATTTATTATTATTATTATTATTATTTATAAAATAGAATATTTAAATCGGTTCGAAGCCAAGTGATTAATTAAATATGGCACCGAAATATCCTCTAAACTTTCGTTTTCGGCAAAAAATGAACATCATTATTCGTTCCTTCTAAACCATGTGACTACGGATCAACTTATGAAACAACGTGTCTGGATGTAAAGTAGCGAAGCTCCGCGTACCAGGTAGAAACAAGTTTTTGCTTACAAGATGACCTTTTAAATTTGTTTTGAGAATGATTAGAAATATTTAAAATTACCGTGAATTAGCAATTCTCTTCTAAGATGATTTTAAAATGTTACTTATGTTATTTGCTCCTCTTTTTTCCATTGTCACCTTTTTCCTGTCTAACGTCTTATTTGTAAATGGCTCTCCGGGGAGACGGCTTAAGCCTGGTACTCACATGCGGCAACGAACGACGGAAACAGTTGCCGTCTCATCAGAAACGATTCCGTAGCCGTAGTTCTGGTTTTTACCACGAGATGCCGCTAGTGTCGTGACGGTCAGATAGCGTATACCTCGTACTGTACGGTGTGCTTGGAATTTTTTGTCGATATTTTAGCTTTAAAACCATACTTCATCATCGATAATTGGTTTTGAAGTATTCCTACTACGTTGCTAAGAAATCGTTATGGAAAATATTGCGTAGGATATATTAGAAAATAATTGTTATTGCGATAAGCACTTCTCCTCAAAAGAAAATCTTACTAACAAGCATGTAGATTTAGAACATAAGCAAATTCCGGTGGAGGAAAAGTCTATATTCTGTCGGAAGTCTTCGTGTTCTGAAGGATTTTCTACTTTCCTTCGATTACGTGAACATCTGGAGAAAGTACATTCTCCAGATTTGCCTGTGAAATTGAGAAGCTGGAATTCAAAACTATGAAGGGTAAGTAAATTCTCTTCTGAAATTTTAAAAATGCCGTATTTAATTAATATATCTTAAAATAATTGTTTCCGTGAATATTAACAGCTCATTCAGTAGTAATTAAAAATATTATGTACTGTATTTGACAGATTTCTACAAATGGAAAGCCATAGATAAGTTGAGAACCAAATAAAGATAACTGCGTCGTACTGTCTAAAAATTCGTAGAATTTATAAATTCTACTCGCGCGGCTCTGGCACATGGGATCGTGACTTCAGAAATGTACCATACTTGCAAAAGGAAAACATTCAATAACAGATTGTGCGTATGAAAATGTTGCAAATGTATAATTTTCAATAAATCTTTCTTATGAATACTGTGGCATTTTTTCTTAGCTAACGTTCTAATAAATCATTGCGGATCTGTTAAATCGAGCTACAAAAAGTTCACAAATGTTTTACTGATGATGATAATTTGTTGATGGATTTAAACTACCAATTCAAAAGACTTTACTCAAATTACACAAGATAACTCTTGGTATTCGCTAGGGTAGGGTTTTTTAAAATTTCGTGAAAACCAAATACGGATGCCTATGGAGAAAATTGAGTTTGGTTTTGTGGAACATTTCAAAGATAAACGTTAATTGTGAAATAAAATATTGCAAATTTTCTAATATAAAACGTTTAAATTATTTCTAAAAAGCAATGAATAATTTTATTAAATAATACAAAAAAAAATTCGAGTAAGAGATTGAAAATTCAGCAGGAAA